TATATATATTTATCCTTAAAAAGCAATTAAAGCAGCCTCTAGATTCTAAGAGCTGCTTAAAGTGATTTTTTTTTTAAAACAAAACAAATCAAAACAAAACAAAAAAATATCTATTTTGAGAGGGTGGGGCCTCATTGCTGGGCTGAACATGTTACGGTCCGCGGGCCGTCAGTTGCCCATCCCTGGTATAACATCCCTGGTATAACATCCCTGGTATAACATCCCTGGTATAACATCCCTGGTATAAGCAAAGAGTGTTTTTTCTAGAACAAAATGATTGGCTGCCAAATCTGATTCAGATCCAGTGAGGCACAGACAAAGAGGGAGTTTCCTGTGTGACTAAAGTACTTTTGAAATACTGCTGACTCACATGTACCAGCTATTTATCTGTAGCAAAAACACACATGACCATATTACCTTTGGTTTTGATAGCAGTCTCTATTCTGGTAGCATCTCTGTCTGGGTCAAAGTCCCTAAAGGGTACCACAGTGGGGTACTTGGATTCGGTCTGTAATTCAAAGCAAATCACTATGAGAACAAAAGTATTTAACCGCCAACACTGAGTAAATCAGTTTGTTATTAAGGCAGAAGAAAAGTTTGACATTACCCCAAAATTGAGAGTCAACTTTCCCAGGTACTCTGACACCAKAGCCATCTTGATTGTTCTGAAAAAGATGACATTAATCTGTAATCCTGTCACTGACATCAACCTAGAAAAATGCATCTTTATACTTTTAGAYAAAAATCTTTTCACTTGTTGAGCAATGTCTTCACATCAGAGGTGGAACAATAGTTCTTTCTGCAGAAATCAGTAACTGTAAATTTTTTTTAGTTGAGTTTTTCTCATTTTGGCTGCATTATCTTCAGATTAAGGGAGGTTTTCAGTAATAATATGCTCAGCTAAGCCCTGTTGACTCTGACACATCTATTACAGGGGCACCACARTGACCACACCCTGGAAAGTGTGCTTCTGAGCTCAAGTCTGGTATGAACACTGAGAACACTCACATGCACAGACAAAACTGTTTTATGAAGCTAATCTGAGTTTAAGGACTAAATAATTCTAGAAATAACTTAAGAAAGAGGCTAAASTGGTTGGACTAAAGCACAACTTGTGGAAACAAGTCATGTGTCTTCATTACAAGCTGGAAAATTCCTTAAATTCCTYTTGCTATGTGAATATCCAAACACTTTCTATGCAGTTAAATTTGACAATGCAGTTTACCTTAGTKGTAGACGTGAAGATGATGCAGAGATTGAGCCTTGTGATGTTGAAGTGGTATGGGAGTGGAAGCTGAACTTTTGTCATACAAAAAGGACTCGGATCCCCCTCCCCTCCCTGTTCTGTCACGGCTCCACCCAATTCCTCTGAGTTCAGGCCAAGCTACTCAACGTTTTAAAGTGGTGCAAAGTTTCCTCAGAGTCTGCTGGTGATTTAGAGCAATCTGCCTTCAGGAGGTTTTCCAGAAGTTGTCTTATCTCGAGTTTGCAACAGTTCAAACTCTGCCAACKTTAAAGCTTTCAAGAAAATTTGAACACTGATAACTTTATTTTTTGTTCATCTTTTACAAAACACGTTTTCAAACAAGATATAGAAAATTCCAGAGAGCAAAGTATAAAAATAAAGAACATTTTTTTACATGGGAAAAATGTCATGGCAATATCATTTTTAAAGCACACCCAGTRTGTAACTATATATCAGTCTTTTCTTTCTTTGCAGTAGAAACACAGGTCCAGCTGTTCTGACTAACCTAAGCAATGAAATAAAACATGAATTACAGGAAATGAAATCATTYGATGAAGGATTTTAAATGGAGTTCTGAATAAGCTTTTTGATATAACGGTCACGTTTGGCTGAGCGTTTTTTCTTCTTCTTCTTCTTCTTGCCTTGCGCATTCTGGTTGTTCTTAAGGCCAGCTCCAGGCTTATTAACTCGCTCTTGCCCTGTCTGGTAAGATAAAAAAAGAAGAAAAAAAAAGTGTAAAAGAGGTTCTTTAGTCAGATGAGGCATCATAGGGTGGCCTTATTCGTCACATTCTAAAACAATATTTATATCTCCCCTTTTTAGAAGTTAAAAGGTTAAATTGAGTTGACAACTTTGCAGGCACTGAGAAAATGTCTCTAGAGTCTGCAATAACAAACAACTGAGCTGCAGCTTATTACTGTATGTTAGCTTCTTCATTGTGTACTGTGGAGAAGTTCACTGGTTCATCTTGCTTAATAAAGTAACAGACCAGGGYTTTGATAATACCTTAGTCAAGACAGGATTTTATTTATAACACTTGTAGGATGTATGAGTCTGTGTGAGAGTGAGTGTCTAAAAATGAGAGAAGGGGGTCTCTACAGTCAAAAAATGGGAGTTTCTTGGGTGTGGGCGTAGTTTGGGTAAACTGTGACTGGTCAGATTGATGTATGAAGAAGTTATTGTGAACATGTAAATATAATTTATTGACTTCAAATTTGGTACATCTAGCACCTTCCTGTCTCRAGTTATGACTAATAGTAATATTCATAAAATTAGTGATTTGATCTGTGGCTCTTCTCCTCTGCTGCCTTTAACTAAACTACACCAGCACAGCAATTAGACCAGTCACRGTTTACACAAACCACGTCAATCCTACTGATCACAGATAACATACACCACACCCACACYTCAATCCGACCAATCACAGTTTACACTAACTASGCCTATAAAAGTCCATCCAACCAATCACGGCTAACCCAAACTACGTCCACACCCAAGGAACTCCCACCTGGAAAATGGATTGACTTCCAAGACTTTTATCAAAAAAATGTTCCAATATGTTTTTCTCACATTATGGGTACATGTACAACTTTGTCATCATTTATTTATGTTTTTAAAACACTGCTACCATGGTAAACCAATTAAATACACACCTTTTGGAAAGGCTTTGGTGGGAAGGTGCAGGGAACCCGGCCATGTTTCTGATGGAAGGGAAGGACCACAGTTGGATCAACAGGTACCCAAGGCACAAGACCTGAGCTGGGGGGTCGTGGAACARAGCTGTGGACCTGCTGCAGGTTGTACGCTCCCCAACCTGCTTTTCCAGTCGCTGCTTTCAAAATAGTCACAAAGGGTTCTCCTGCTTTGTGCGTAATCAGGTACCGTCCTTCCTCCAACCTATACAAAACCAAACAAACTTATTGAGAGGTGAGTCTTGAGTCAAAACTACAGCAAGGAAACATGTTGCAGCACTACAGTCATTGCTTGTTTTTGGGATGAGTGATGACAGGAAACTCAGTGAGAAGTGCCTAAAGAAAACAGAAGGTACAGCATCTATTGTGTAAGCTAATGGTTGCCTAACTCATGAAATCAGACAAATRACGTATGTTCCACCCCCAGGCTGAAGGGCTGAATGCATGAAAAATTAGTCAGTTTGAACAGAGATTTAAACCAGTATAAGTGCTATGGGTTTAAACATTTGCTACATGCAAAGTAGGGTGGTGCTGTTACACTCAAACTAAAAWGATAGAAACAACATACCCGGTTAGTTTTTTCAAGAGATGGTGTAGTATATTCAGTGACTTAGAAGATCTGTGGATTAAAAAAATACAAAACAGAATAAAATTTTACTCTCTACAACAGCAGCTCTAACACGACAAACAGAAAATGACAGCTACTTGTGAAGTTAGCTAGCTAATATTCTCTAGCCTAATTATCCAACAGAGCTGTGTCACCTTCAMCATGGAAGTGACAAACAGAAGAGAAACTACACAGGCACAGAGCTGGTTGTGTTATCTCTTTAAATTAATCCAACATTTTTATGATTACCCCTAAAGTTAAAAAAAAAAAAAAAAACATAAATAATTCATCTTTCTACCAGACAGAGCAAGTATTTACAGATTTAAAAACACTGGAAGCAAAAACTGGTTYTTAAAAGCTGGCAGTGACTTCGTCCTAATTAGCAGGTCAATATTCTCTTGCTTAAAAACCCATCATAGGTGTGGTGCTACTTGTATTCTTTTAATTTCATTCAACATTTCTATGATTACTAGTAAAGCTAAAAAAAAAACAGTTCATATTTCATCTTTTTACCTGAGCAGGTTTTTACTGCTTTAAAAACAGCAGAAGCAAAAACTGGTTCCAAAAAGTCTGTGTTGCTCCCACGTATTTTCCTAAAAACATTTGATCATTTTGTTAAAAAAACTGCAAATGGGAAAAAGTCTATGGGTATTGTTTTTATGTAAAGCTAATTATAACAAAATCTGATGCTTATTACTCAGGCTGATGGTGTTTTTCATCACCAAATTTTGATACTCAAGCTTGATTTAAACTAGTAAAACACAATCTGAAAGTTTTGGCAACTTATTTTCTTGATATACAGAAGGCTTTTTCTCCTCATTTTGGTATGTAGTTGGGGTGGTAGCAAGTCAAGATTTCTGAGACATTAGGGGCACGCCCCTATCCACAAACACTGGCACCATCATGCATCCTGACTGAGTCAGTCAGGAGGATAGCCCTTCCAAATATTCACACAGATAACTGTTTATCTTGTTTTGTGCTGTTCATAACATGTATTATATAGGGTGTATCACAAAAAAAAAAAAAAATGATGCTCTCAGAAAAATCGCCATAAAATTAACATAGATAATAATTTTGAAAATGTGGGCATAACCTTTGGTAGAGGGGATCATTCTGCTTCGAAAGATACCAAAATCTTAGTTAACGCTTAACGCTCGAGTGAGAAYGGACAGTTAGAAATTCACAAAATTCATGTCCTTTGTGCAAGGAAATGTGAGGGTTAAAATACGATCTGTCACATAAAATTAAAAGTTTAGATGGTGTTTTACACACACGCCAAGGCGTTTTTAAAATAATTAACCATTTCATGACCCAACGTCGAAACAAAAATATCTCATTTTTGAGTGGATCATAAATAACCAAGGGTTAACAAACACGTGAAGTGGCTGTGGACAAGTCAATCCAGCCAACTAACATTACATGTAATGTACTGTACATGTACATGTATTCAGTGGGTATTACATGTAATTATTCCAAAACCTGGTACAAGATCATGTGATCGTCTGTTCATTTTCTTTCATTAAAACAACATGATCACAAACATCACCTTATCTTATCTTGTACCAGGTTATGGAATAATTACGTGTAATACCCACTGAATACATGTACATGTACACTACATTACATGTAATGTTAGTTGGCTGGATTGACTTGTCCACGGCCACTTCACGTGTTTGTTAACCCTTGGTTATGATCCACTTAAAAATCAGATATTTTTGTTTCGACGTTAGGACATGAAAGGGTTAATTATTTGAAAAACGCCTTGGCAAGCATGTAAAACACCATCTGAACTTTTAATTTTATGTGACAGATCGTATTTTAACCCTCACATTTCCTTGGGCAAAGGACATGAATTTTGTGAAATTCCAACTGTCCCTGCTCACTGGAGCGTGAAGCGTTAAGATTTTGGTGTCATTTGAAGCAGAATGATCCCCCCTACCAAAGGTTACGCCCACATTTTCAAAATTATTATCTATGTTAATTTTATGGCGATTTTTCTAAGAGTATCATTTTTTCTGATACACCCTGTATACAGTCAGGTCCACAAATATTGGGAAATTGACACAATTGTTTCAATATCCCAAAATATATGAACCTAACTATATATAGACACCCTCAAGTTAGGGAAGCAGTTCTTCACTGTAGCTCAGAACAGTTTGAGGGGAAAGAATGTGAATAAAAGTGTCCCAAATCATGTCTAAAAGTGGAATTGCAATTGTCCCAAGTGCAATCACACTTGACTTTACTGTCATTTAATAGTGATCAGATCATGCATGGCTGTTAGTGCTAAGCTTGAACTGGTCCTGCGTCCCATAGGACCTTAAAGAGTAACTTACCCCAAAATTAACTTTTTTAGCTGATAAACTGTCTAGAATGTGTCTAAAATGTTATATAGTACTGTTTCTGTGCTAATTTTGAAGTTTTTGTGTGTATTTGTTCAAATCTGTAATATTTGGTCTAAAAACGTCTTTTTGCTGCTCATATGGGTAGAGCAGTGGTACTGCAGGCTAATTTGCATATTGGTTAACGGCTCTCCGCTGTGACGTGGTTCTGCACAGTTTCGTCACAGCGGCTGTGCTCTCATTTAAAAACCTCTCTGTAAGACACGCCCCTGCAGCAGTCAGAGGGTGGAACAGTTAGCAAGCTTAGCATGATCGTCTGTTCACCTTCAGCCTTGGTGGAGAGAGGTGTTGGCTGCTCTCTCTCTCCCCCTCTGTCTCTCCACACACACACACACACACACACACACACACACACACACACACACACACACA